GAAATGCCAGGAAGAGGGGGCAGGTCTTCAGCTGGAGCCAGTTGGGCCCTGCTCTGCAAAGGGCAGTCCTCCTGCCCTGGTTACAGAAGCAAGTGTGGGGAGTGTCAGATTTCAGAGCAGGGAGGGGGGAGGCACTCCCTTCAACATGCAGCCCCACTGGTGGTTTGAAACAAAAGCATGTTTTGTGTTTGCGTGTGCAGTCCCAAGGAGAAGATACCACAGACCACCTTTGCTTGGAAGCAGAACTGCAGAACAGGTTCAGCTTGTTCTGCTCTGGCCTTTCCTTTTTTCCTTTTCTTTTTTTGAATACTGAGGCTAGGTTAACCCTGTGTGGGTGTTTGCCAAATTCCTCCAGAGGTGGGTTTTGATGATTCTCAGGCCCTGGAAGCTTTCCCCTTCTCCTTGGCCAAGGGGCCTGGAATCTGAGGGATTTTATTTTTGCTGCCCCCTTGCCTGGAGCTGCTCTGAGCTCTGCCTTGCTGTTCTGAGCAGGCACATGGTTCTGATTTCAAAACCATGGAATGTGTACGCCTTCCCACCTCCCCATCCCTGGTTCTTCTCCCAAAACAAGGGACTGGCTCTAGGTTGAGGAGGGGAATCTGGCAGGCAGCTTTGCGGTCTCCCCAACCCTCTCCTGTTCCTCCTGAGGTACGGCTGACTCTCGCTGGAAACAGAAAGCTGTCCTAACTCTTGGGCCACTGTGGCAGGGCTTTTGTGCTTGTTGGCGTGGTATCCGTGCCTGCTGGGCAGGCCGTGTGGGAGCCAGCCTACTCTGGGGGTCATCCAAGGGACCCCAGTGAGACTTCTGTGCTGCAGGACTTTCTGGAATTCTGGTCCTTCGGTGCAACTCTCTCTGGGTGTGGTGGCAGCACTTGACAGCAAACCATGCTTTCCTGCCTGGAAAGTTCTCGTAACCTTCTTAGTCACTTAACCAGAGGCTGTCCCCACCTGGCTGAGGGCTCCTCGGCCACTCGACTCTGATTCTGTGGGCAACGGCTGCCAAAGAACATGGCGGTCCAGTTGTTCTTTGTGTGTTCTGCTCATAAGCGCAGCTACCAAAGGTGTTGGCAGGAAATGGTCCCAAGAGTCAAAATGACAGTGCAGTCGAAGCTCCCCCTGCAATCCATCCCGGCAGCTACTGGAGAGGCAGAAGCCTTGTAGCAACACAAGCATGGCTTGCAGTGGGGAGCAGATGCTCTGGGAGCCCCAGGCTCTGGCGGCACCATGCCTAAGGGTGCTTCCCTCTTCCTCTCCTGCCCAGGGGGGACACTGGCAGAATTCATCCATAAACGAGGCAATTCCCTGCTGGATGAGGAGACCATCCTGCACTTCTTTGCGCAGATCCTGCTGGCGCTGCACCATGTCCATGCCAAGCAGATCCTGCACCGGGACCTCAAGACCCAGAACATCCTCTTGGACAAACACCACACAGTGGTCAAGATTGGTGACTTTGGCATCTCCAAGATCCTCAGCAGCAAGAGCAAAGCCTATACTGTGAGTGCCCTGCGGGGCTCCCCTCTGGTGCTTCCTGGGCAGAGGGAGCAGCGTCAGCCTCTGCAGCTGGCAGAGTCAGTGTTGCCATGCCTTGGACAGGGGTGGCTGCCGAGCCAGGGCTGAGCCCAGGAGAGGGGCAGGAAGGGGGGCTGCCCTGGGGGGGGGACGTCTGAGGTGACCTCTTGCCACGCGCTTAGCTCTCTGGAGTTCTGCATGTGGCTCTTGGGCAGAGCTGAGCCAGGGTAGGGGACCTTCTGCTTTCCCCTTTCTTCTGCCTTTCCAAATTTGCTGACGGGCATTCATTCAGGTGCCTCTTTCCCCAGGTGGTGGGCACCCCTTGCTACATCTCTCCGGAGCTGTGTGAAGGCAAGCCTTACAACCAGAAGAGTGACATCTGGGCCCTGGGCTGCGTCCTGTATGAGCTGGCCAGTTTGAAGAGGGCCTTCGAGGCAGCAGTAAGTGACTGGGTCAGGCTGGCCTGGCCTCTGGGTTGGAACTGGCATCCTTGTGGTATTCTCTCTGCTGCAGCGGGCAGCTGGGATGTTTGGATGTCCAGCATGCACAGCCTCTGAACCCATGGGCAGCGGCCACTGGGAGAAGTGGCTACTTGTTTTGTGAAGCTCTGTCCTTAGTCAGATATCCACAGTAGGATTCTGTAGCCAGTGTGGCCTGAGGAGGTAGGAGGGAGCAAAGGACCTGTTTTACGCAGAGTAGTTTCCTAGGTAAGAGGGGCACAGCGTGGGGAAATCCTGGAGGTCTCCCACTCCCAGTCAGAGCAGGCAGCACCGAAGGAGGCAAACGCATGCAGCAGGGGACGTGGGAGGGATTGTAAAGGGGGGCCAACTTGCCCAGTTCCTGGATCTTGGGCTCTTAGCTATCTCATTGTTTCCTATTAGACGAGCAGGAGATAACGTACGCATTTAGAAAATCAATGTTTTTCTAACCTGTTGTCTAAAGTTAGTTCACAATAAATTACCTACTTTGTAATGGAGCTCCTCGGTAGCATGCTTCACACAGCTCCATTTGCTAACTTCAGCAGTCCTCGGGAGGTGAGTTGGGGGTCAATATGATTAGCTGTGGGCATATTCCTAGCTTGCTTTCCATGTTTTTGGCATATTGTACTGGCCTGGGTTACGGGCTGAAGTTGCTTTGGGATAAGGGAACTGTCTTTCTTCTTGACAGAAGACCCCAAGTGGCAATTCCTATATCTGCAGTGCCAGCCAGGGTGATCCTTTCGAATGAACTTGCTTAAATTTTTAGGGGAGGCAGGGAGGGGGCCATCCCACGGCATCCTTCTACGCCATAGAACTTGTGGTGTGCCGATCTGGAGGGACCCAAGGCCAAGGGTGGCGGCAGCTGTGTCCTTCACTGGGAAAGGGCCACTGAGTTTCCCTCCACCCTCCAGGGGCAGTTTGGCATCCTGCTGCGCCCACAGTTCTCTGATCGTGCCCCCTCATCTCCCACAGAACCTGCCCGCCTTAGTTCTGAAGATCATGAGCGGCACCTTTGCCCCCATCTCGGACCGCTACAGCCCTGAGCTGCGCCAGCTGATCCTCAGCCTGCTCAACCTGGACCCATCGAAACGGCCCCAGCTCAACGAGATCATGGCGGAAGCCATCTGCGTCCGCCCCTTGCTGAACCTTTATACCGACGTGGGCAGCGTCCGGATGAGAAGGCGAGTTGGGCAACCCTGCGGTGCCCCCGCTCCCTCTCCCTGGCTCCCCCCCCACCTGACTGGAGGTTCTCCTCCTGCTCTTGGCAGGCCTGAGAAGCCGTGGACAGCAGTGCCTCCAGCGACCCATGGCAGAGCTAGAGGTGGGGCTGTCGCTACCAGAGCGAGGGGTAAGGCTGGACAAATTGGGGGGGCTCCCTTTCTCTCCCCAAAGGGCTGCCTGGGATTCTCCACCCCAGGGATGGCAGATTTACAGGTCCTGACTTAGGACACCATGCTGGGGTGGGGGGGAGCTGATGAGCATAGTGTCTTTCTCCTGCTTCTTTGGCAGGTGACCCGGCCAGCGCACGCGTGGCCCCGCCAGAACCCTGCTAACAGGGCTTTCTCTTGGACATAGGCTGTCGCGCTGGTTCCGCCAGGCCTGGCCTCCCGTCAGCCTCGTCCTCCATCTACACCTGGGGATGTGGGATCACTACCCCCCTCCGCCTCCCCATGCTGAACACGGAGGTGGTGCAGGTATCCACGGGCCGGACGCAGAAGGCGGGCGTGACCAAGTCTGGGCGGCTGGTCATGTGGGAGGTGAGAGGCCTGTTGCTTCTGCCCGGGGCAGGGAAACCCCTCTCTGCTTGCAGTCGAGCCGAGGGAGGGAGGGAGGAAGCTTCAGTTTTCTTTTAAAGCCTTGGGCCCATTGGAGACACGTCAACAGCCAGTGTGGGAGAGGTGGTTGGCAGCTCCAAGTGTGGTCAAGAGGGGGCCTTTAGGATCCGTGAGAGAGGCGGGTATCAGCAGGGTTGGCATTGCAGAGGTAGAGGAGTTACACCAAAGAAGAAAGAGAAGCCCCCCCCCCCAGCCAATTAGAACTGAATATG